TCTATAAAAATGGTAGGACAAGCCCTAAAACTCAACAAAAAAGCTACAGGCTCTAAAATAAACTTAACCAAATGCCAAGGTATATGGTTAGGAGAAAATAGATTTAAAGATAAGGAACCATTACTAAATTTTGAATGGGGGGAGTCATCCTTCAAGAGCCTCGGTATCACTTTCTCAGCGTTAGGCAGCTTCTCTTACTTCACCCACTGGAGGGACCGACTTCAGAAAATAGATAATACCCTAAGCAAATGGAGCAAACATAAACTTTCATTAAAAGGAAGGAAGATTATTATTAACTCTTTGATAATCCCACAAATAACGCACCTAGCTTTTATTGTACCCCTTCCAAATGATGGAGTTTTAAGTAAAATGGAAACAAAACTAAATAACTTTCTATGGGGCAGGAAAATATCCAACCTGAACAAACAAATAACACAACAAAAAATAAAAAATGGAGGAGTTGGAGTTGTCAGTCTAATACACAAACTTAAGGCAATCCAAATGCAATGGGTCTCCAAATTACATAACCAAAATTTGGAAGGCCCATGGAAGAACGCAATGCTTCACATAATAAACTCGCACAGAAAATCAAACCAAAACGTACAAATATTCCAAACTAATCCCACGCAACTTAAAAAACTTCCACCGTTCTACCTTCAATTACTTAAAAACTGGAACGATGTTAAAACATCTTATAACGTTCCAATAAGAGATATAGAAGAAATACTCAATCAACCTATTTTTTACAACAATAGCATCCGTGATAAACGGCACTGCTTTCTCATTCCCAAAAAAACTCATATTAAAAATGAAATAATGCTCGTAGCTGATATAGCGAAAACCTTTCAGCCCGGATTCCTACACCATAACTCAATAGGGTTAACGGAATCAGAGCTAAAAAGTATTGTGGCAGCTTTGCCCCTTCAATGGCATAACAAAATCAAACAAGAAGGACAAAGTTATGACCATAACAAAGCACCCAATTTCTTAGCAAAACGAAAGGACAAATATGAATATAAAAATATTACAGTACTAACTATGTACAAACTCCTAAACAAACCTAAAAATCCTTTGAATCTAAGATATAAAAAATGGTCATTTAGTGATTACAACAGCATGCAAACACTAAACGAAGACGACTGGAAACAATTCTTTTTAAAAATACATAAAAGAAACACAAATAAAAAAGCAAGTGATATACTATTTAAAATAGCGCATTTTATTTTGCCAACAAATGAAAATATGTTTAATAGGAAACTAAGAGTAGACAAAATATGCCCGCAATGCGGAACTCAAGACGAAACTATAGAGCATATGATGTATAATTGCAATAAAGTACAGCCTTTAATACTTTTTGTCTTAGACATTCTCGATCAACTTTATCCTTCTGAATACCCCCATCATAATTCTCTTAAATTTTTATTATGTGGATATAGTATAAAGAAACATGATAGAGAGTTTGGAAATGTTTTACTGGAAACTCTAATTGTAGAAATATTTTTTAACAGGATGAAATCATATTATGAAAAGAAAATATTTAGCATAAATTTTTTGCTCAAGAAACTAGATGATAAAATTAAAAGTATATTAAAGAAAGAACTTCTAATAATAAAAACAAATAACACACAAGATAAACACATTAATGAGATTAGAAATATTTTTAAAAATGGGAATCTCAATCTAGTTGCTGACATAAAGAACTATTTTAGGTAATCTTAACCTATTCGATTTTCGATTTTTCGTTTTATTTCGCTTTTTTGTTTTGTTTCGCTTTCTCGTTTTAATTTTTCTTTTTCGTTTTATTCGATTTATATTACTTCTGTTTTTTATTTTAGTTTTTTTATCGGATGTAAATACTTTATATTTGGCTTTTTACCCTAACGGATCTTTGTAAAACGGTTTATTTTTTATTATTTTGTTCACGAGTTTTAACCCTCTTAAGAGGGACGTCAATAAGGCAATTAGCTGGCTGACGGTAAAAAATACAATATATCTTTAGTATGCGTCCTGTCATTGTAATTCTACAAAGACAACCCTCTAAACCATGATGATGAGCTGATGTGATGGTACCTGAGCGTGATACTTAACTCACTAGATTTTTACGAAAACCTAGTGGTTATAGATGAACGTTCTGTTCGTTCTAGTAACGAATGGAGGGTACCGTCACCAGCTGAATGGTTCTAATATCAAATAAGAATATAAATATAAATGATGTATGAACCTCATAAGGTGTTATGACAAATTTCTGTTTAATTTCTCTTAACTTATTAAGTTAATTATAATCATACTAGCAGTAAGCAACCCTTAATACGGGTTATTAGTAACTAAATAATTGCTTACGGTTACTAACAAAAAAGACTACGTTAACATCTGTAAAGTTCTTTTTAAGATCTATTTCAGCACAGCAGGTACCATAAAAGGAAAGTCAAGTAAAGCCTTCCAATGCTTAAAAAAAGGAACAAAAAATAATTACAAAGTATTATTTGCATTTTATTGTTGATAGAATGAAGATGACTTAAATGAAGACTTAAAAAAATTGCTGTAATAGCCCAGTTCTATCAACACAAAACACATTAACAATAGCGCATAGCATAAGATATTTGTAAGCACACATTACTATGTCTCTCCAAAAAGATTAAAAAAGAAAAGATTATATAAAGGCTAGACAACTTAACGTAGTAAATAACGTAATAACGTATAACACCACAACTTAAGATATTTTATCAACTAAAATACTTGAGCTAAAAAGATTTTATTGATTACAATATTGAACAATTTTATCATAAAATACCAAGCAGCTCATAAAATTTTTTATATACATGGTCATTATCAATTGTGGCATTAATAAAACTTATATAATTAGTTTTTTTAAACAAAAAAGTAATTATATAAGTTTTATTGATGCTCCATGCACTAACTCTCTTTCATCTCTTATCTAAGAGTAAACAAAATTATTTTTACCTTTATTATGTAAAGCTCCAGCTTCTCTTTAACTGTCAACTAATGATTAATAGAGTAAATTTCATATCATTAAATTTACAAAATTAAAACCATGTTTCAACAGTAAGCAAACTAATCAAGTGATAATAAAGGCAACTAAAAAAAAAAAGAACATAATTACGTTTGAATTTATAAAAAAATTTAAAATCATTTAAATTTAAAACTATTTGATTTAAAGTGTTTAAAATAAAATCAAATAAACACACATTAACACCGCTTGATATTGAATTCTGGCAAGTAAGTTTTCTGCTCGCCGAGCAGCATTTCTTATATTTCAACAACTTTTTTTTTAATTTTATTTTAGGTGCTCCAAGAAGTCCTCAAGGTCTTATCACAGAGCACCGTGGATAAGCATTTAATAGGAAGTTCACGCCTCCTTAAATTTTTATTTTTCGATAAAAGTTGTCTATCAAAAATAAAAATTTATTTACATCATTAAATTGTAATTTAACAAAGAATCTAGACAACAATACATAATCTAAAAGTGTAAAAAATGAAGTAATATCACTCAATATATTTTACTCCAAAGTAATTAAAAAAACCTATTAAATCTAATGAAAATATTAAGTAAAAAGATATAGCAAACTTACTAAAATCAGTACCAGTTTTACTGCCTAAAAACTTTTATTATTAACCCTTCTAATAGTAATAAAAAAATAACAACAAAGCGATCTGAAGTTACTAAAAATCACTTCACCTATTTTTTTTGTTTAGGTTAATTGTCCAACTAAAAGTCTATAACTATAATACTGAGATAATGTAACGTGATTTCTAATCAATGTAGCACGTTCAGGGTTGTAAACCAATTGATTATGCCAACCAGCATCACCCCTTAGAAAAAATAAAGAACAAACCATAGGCTCTAATTTGGCAGACATACTTGATATATTTTAAGAGGATGACCTCTTGGGAAAGTAACAACTTCACTGGAAGTAGGTGGAGCATTATCTTCACCAAAAAAAAGCAACTTCATTATGTGAACGGAGATTATAGTGACATCTATCTTGCCCTTTTTTCTCCCTATTTCAGTTCAAAGTATATGCTGCTTGCCTAGCAGGATATCTAGCATTTGGTTGATTATTAATTTTTATCCTGCCTCAGCCTATTTCTTGCATTTCTGTGACGACTATTTTCAACTTGCCTAATCACACTGTCCTCATTTTGATTTAAATTATTTGTGGCTTGCCATGCAGCATATCTAGCATTGTGTTGATTATTAATTTCATCCCGCCTCAGCCCATTTCTTGCATTTCTGCGACGATTATTTTCAACTTGCTTAATAACATTTCCATCATTTTCTAAACTAATAGCCACTTCTAGCCTTAAAAAAAAATATTTAATGAACCAAGATGATATAGATAAGAAATGTTAAAATATAAATAATTTAATATGTTATATAATATAATACAAAAGTTATGTAATACAGCATAACCATTTTATAATAATTACACTATTTTATATGATTTATATCAATTTATATTCATATATTTATTTTATTTGCTTAAAAAACAAAATATTGGATTTGTATTGAAAAAAATACATATTATATATCATATTTTAACATTTTCTATCTTATATCATCCATTTAAACTTCACTTTTAATTGATAGTAGTAACAAAAAATCTTAAAAGAATCTTGAAGATTGTGATTTTTTTTTTACTTCTCTAAATTGCACACACACAAAGAATAATTTTTAAAACATTACATAGAAAATTTTCATTTAAAATAAACCAAATTATACAACAGTATTGTGAGTTTTTTATAAAAACATTTTTTTAAATATATCCGTTAAAAGATGTGTAAACAAAAAATAAACTTATAAATATAATGTAAATAAAAAAGTTAACTAATAGTAATAAAAAAATAATAATAGTAAAAAATTTAATGATAAAGGGTACTGTTAATACAAAAAAAAGAAGACAAAAAATAAAAAGTAAAGTATTTGTAAACCCCTTTTAGTAAACTTTAATACTATTTTTATAAAAAAATTGTATAAAAAACATGCAAATAATTTAACCTTCACAAACAATGACTGTTCAAAAGTTGTAGTTTAATTCATTTTTCTAAATTCTGAAGAAAAAAAAAAATTTAACAGCATCACTGAAATGCCAACAATATAATAAGCAGCATGACAAAGTTTATCAAAGATTAATTATCTGCTTTTTTATTACTTAATCTTTTTTCCAATATTTTATTTTATTTATTACACATTAAAATCAGAAGATTAAATTTATTAAAGCTTAACATAAGTTAAAAGCTATAAACACTAAATTATTAAATTCAAAACAATCAAAAGAAATAAAATCTGCTGAAAATCAACTAATTAGTTTAAAATTATAACTTAAAAATATTACAAATTTAAATGTGATTTTTGTTATAATTAATAAATTGCTGAAATACATTTTTTCAAAAATGATTAACTGATATGGTATATATTCAAAGCAATATAATAGCCATGTAATATTGTGAATCAAAAATTAAAGTAATAAAAACTATAAATAATAATCTAAATAAACACTAAAAAAATAAAAACAAACAATTTAGAATATATATATTTTTTTAATGAAAATAAAAACCAAGGAAAAAACAGCAACAAAAAAATTAATATTAAAAAAGTTAATATCTTCACTGATTGAATATATTAAAAAATTTTTTGTTGCTGTTTTTTTACTTGGTGCCTCCCAGCACCCCTGTATGGATGAGCCCTCCATTTAAAAGAGGGCTATTCCATACCATTATTACTGCAACATTGTTAAAGGACCTCTCATGTTAAAGGACCTCAACATGTTAAAGGACCTCTCAGAGTGGTCCTGGGTGCTGGGAGCAATATAGTCTTTAGCTGCTCCAATTTAGATCTAAAGAAAAAATAATAATATAATAAAAAATAGATATTTGCATTAAAAATAATAAAATGAAAACTCCTAATATAGAAAAATTAAAAAAAAAACGTAGTAAAACCCTTTTAAGCAAACTTCAATATTATTTATTTGAAAAAAATATTAGTAAAAATTTTTAAAAAATTCACTTAACTTAACAATATTTTGTTCTTCTATACCACAGAAATACATCATTTGATAAATAAAAAATGTAACAAATAAGTAAATAAGAAAAAAATTACATACAAAAAAATGAAATCATTGTACCTGATAAAGCTGATGTGATTTACCAGAGTAGTAGTAGTAGTAGTAGTAGTAGTAGTAGTAGTAGTAGTAGTAGTAGTAGTAGTAGTAGTAGTAGTAGTAGTAGTAGGCTTTTAGTGAATCTAAATATTAATTTTAGTGAATGATTAAATGCAGTGAGGTCTAATAATGAAATTAACTATGTATCATTTTTAACAGTAGACAACAACTTGAAGGTAAACCAAATGTATATCAACTCAGAAGATTACAAAAAAGCAACATCACAACAACAATAGCATTCACCATAAGTTCATATAATATGCATATAACATAACTTAAGAAACATAACATTCATATATAACAGAACATCAGTAACAACATTACGCAAAATGTTATTAAAATACATTATGTATTTTCAGAGTAATTATTAATAAAGGCTTGAAAACACCTAGATCTAAAGCAGTAACAGTTTGAAACGAAACACTGCTTTGTAACCCTTTGCAGTAAGTGACTTGGCTGGCAAGGTTGACAAATCTTGCTTAACACGTTTACCGTGTTAAGCAAGATTTGTCAACCGTGTTAAGCAAGATTTGTCAAAATATGTTTATATATGTTTTCAAAATGCTGTATTCACAGCATTTTGAAAACATATATAAACATATTTATACACTTTTATAAAACAGTTATATAACTTATATTAACACATACACAAACAATAAAAAAACATGTTACATTATTATAAAAACACACTGATAAAAAAGCTATAAAGCACATTTTACAAAAAAGCATATACACATAATTATCAAAAAAGCAATGCAAACAATAAACATATAACTTGAATTGTGCAAACAAAAATTTTAAAAATGGCATGAAAAAATTTTAAAAGATTCAAAGTAAACAAAATATAAATATTTATATACAAACAATACTCTTTACCTTTTTCTTTCATAAGAACTGTAGTTCTCATAACAAAAATTTAATCTTTACATACAATAACATGTGACATGTCAGTAGTGGCACGAAATTTCAATTTATTTTTCTAAATTTTCTAAAAAAGAGCAAAAACAGTTAATAGCATCACAGAAATTTCATGGTAGTAATAACCAATTTTATTGAAATTAGTATAACTTTTTTGTTGCATTAGTAAAAAACTTTTTTGTTGCATAAAAAAATAATTAGACCTCATCCTTACCTCTATCTTCCTTCTAAAAAATTGAAGATATGCTCAATAAAAACTGCTAGAAAAAAATAAAGCCAAAAGAAAAACTAAAACAAACAAAATGTAAATGATTTAAAAAATTAAAAGGAGTAATCCTTTTATTTTTAATAAAAAATATTATATATAAATTGCGAAACTATTTTCAATGCTTATATGATCTTAACGATGATTATTATAATATGATCTTAACGATGATTATTTATCTTAATATGATTCTTTATGTAATATTTCTAAACTAATCTTAATATTAATTCAATTCTAAAGGTAAAAAGTTTTAACTCGGTTGAAAGATCTTCCTCTAATAACCGCGTGCATTTTGAAAACGCGCTGTTTCAAGTTCAGAAAAGCCTAGTAACTAATTAAAACTGCTTTAAAAACGAAAGCGAAACGACATTGAACATTGAACATTGAACATTGAATTTTTACAGTATTCATATTTAGAGAAGATTAACAATCTATAAAATAAATACCACTTAGAAAAGTTATTTAATATCTTTTAAAATATTTTTTTATTTTTCTATATATTTATGGATTAGCCTTATATTAAAACGTTTATGCTGACATATTTGTCAAAGAAGAATGGTAAATATAAAAAAAATCATTTTACAGAAATTCGTAAGAATATAAAAGACTAAATATAAATTTTTACATCCGATAAAAGCAAAAAAAATAAATAAATAATAAATGCAAAATTAAAAATAAAGAAAACATGCTATATATAATATATATCCCGCTATATATATATATATATATATATATATATATATATATATATATATATATATATATATATATATATATATATATATATATATATATATATATATATATATATATATATATATATATATATATATATATATCATGCTATATATAATAATATCTACTATATTATAGTGGACCCAATACTGTTATTACCGTAATTGTTCAAGCACCGGTATTGGGTTTTCCAGTGGTGGATTAAAACTTCTTGGGACCCAGAGCTGTTTTTGTTTTTTAGAGGCCTTTTTATGTGCCAGAGCCTAAGAATGACTTTACTAAAAAAAAATATATAAAAAAAAAAAAGTCAACTAAAATTTTTGGAAGCCCCTAAATTTGCGGGGCCCGGGGCTATAGTCCCACCTAGCCCCCCCTTCCTCCTTGATCCGGCACTAGGGTTGGCTCAATACAGGCGGTATCACTCTTTGCGTAAATGGAACACAGTGAACTCCTGATATCTCGAACCTCCAAGAGACCTAGAAAACAGTTCGAGTTAGCGAGTGTTCGAGTTATCGGGACATTCTGTTACACGAAAAATTGCAAATAAGTAAAAAAAAATTCGAGTAATAAGTTTTATTGAAAATTTTTTCTTTCTTTTTGATCCGTTCCCCTTGAAACCTCACTAATTCTTTCACATAAAAATAACTCGAACACCCGTTACCTCGAACATTCGCTAAATCGAACCATTTTATCTGCTCCCATTGCTAATATTTTTTCAATAACTCAAACTTTAGAACAAAAATATAAAAAGAAACCGAATGATACCCTTGCACAGCATTCCTACTGGTTGGGTTTAAACGTAGGAGAGTGCCAAAATATTCTTATATAAATTACTTAAGCGTATTAATTTAAATAAGATTTGTAAACAATTGTAGTAGTTTGATAGTTTAGTTTATAAGTTGCGGAGAAAATGTCGTAAGATTTTATTTTTATAATTCCATTTTCTACTTCTTTTAATTTTGGGAAAGCGGAATAGTATCGAAAATTAACTGATCGAAAAAATGATTGTTATCGAAAAATAACTGACCGAAACTCATTTTAATGATTAAGATCGAAAATGTGATTTTCAGATTAATATCGAAAAGTTTTTATATCGAAATTCACAAATTTGGAACAATATCGAAAACAATAAAAACGGAATAAGATCGAAAACTCATTTAACTGATTTACATCGAAAATGTGATTTTCTGATTAATGTCGAAAAGTTTTTATATCGAAATTCACAAATGTGGAACAATATCGAAAACAATAAAAAAGGAATAAGATCGAAAACTCATTTTAATGATTAACTTCGAAAATAAGATTTTCCGATTAATGTCGAAAACAATAAAAACAGAATAAGATCGAAAATTTTTAATTGTCAAAAATTCTTTTTAATGATTAACATCAAAAATATGATTTTATGATCACACTTTTATTTAATAAAAAACTAGTATTAGGAAAAAATCTTAAGAAATTTTTAATACTAAGTCACTTTTCAAAAAGAAACTTATTTAATAGTTCGATGAATATTTCCTAACTTTTCACCCTAATATCGCATCATCTTAACAAAGTTAGCTTTACCTACAATGGAGAACAGCAGTTTAAATGAGCTTAATTTTTCAAAACACTTTGAGTGAGTTTCCTGCAGTTGTTTCTGAATCTGTTAGTTTTCGTCAAATTATCCCAAGTCTTCAAAAAAGGAGAAGGCTAAATGAGCCTTTAAACCCAAAATCACCTAATGCTGAAGTTCTGAACGACAAAGAATGCCATCGCTATGGAGACATTTTCTTGGGATCAGTTCCAGAACAGGATAACGTAGCATTGCTGTTTGGGCATATGCTAGTCATCAACAAGGCGAAATTGGTCAAAGTGTGTTTTGTTGATGGAACATTTAAGTATTTATACGTATCCATTTAACTTTTTCAAAAAAATATATGTTCTGGAAGAACATATATTTATCTAGGGCGCTGTCCATTAATTACATCAACAAACTTTTGGCTATTTTTACATTACCCCCTCCCCCATGTCAACAATTTGTTAAATTTCCAGAGATACTTCTTTCCCCTATAAAATTACGTCAATTTTTGATAACCCTCCTTCCCTAAATAAAGACGCTGCGCTAAAAACGCAGGCAAAATTTTTTTTTTTTGAGTAACGAAATTAAAAAAATAAAGCAACATTGTTGATGTCAACTTTACTTGACCTCCTTCCCTCACCCTTAGCAAAAATTTTCTAAAAAATTTAGACACCCCCTTCCTTATTTTTTTAACGTTATTAATGGACAGCCCGTAGACAAAAAAAAGTGATATATTAAAAACGTTAGGTAGAACACTTTTATTTACAGTTGTAAATTATAGTTACATTTATTGTACTTCCAGCATGACACCACAGCTGTATGCGCTTTAATGACATCGAAATCTGAGGCTCTATATAAGCATGTTTTTTCGAAAATAAAAGAAGTTTTAGATTTCTCTCCAGTCACCATTATGTCAGATTTTGAACGAGGACTACAGAATGCTTTAAAAACAACTTGGAGTGAAAGCTTGGTGAATGGTTGCAGGTATAAGTTATTACTTTGTTATAACTTAGTTTCCAGTTTCTAAATTATCCAAGTTTTTCAGAGTTTGTTATCAATTAATGATCTCCTTTAAATCCTTATCTTTAGGTTTCATTTCGAAAATGCAATCACCAAGCAATTAGCAATTCTTGGTCTTCAGAGAGAATACCGCCACCAAATTCAAGTAAAGAAGTGGGCACAAAAAGTTTCAGCACTTTGTCTCCTTCCTGCAAACAAGATCTTGGTTGCTAGGGGATCTCGAGTTATTGAGATTGCACAATTTAGTCGCGAAATCAAAATCAAACTGCTTGCTTTTAAAAGATATTTTGAGAGTTATTAGCTCAATATAGCGACCCCAGAAGGATTCAGTGTTTATGGCTTGAACCACAAAACCAATAACAATGCAGAGAGTCTCAATAGACATTTGAAATCAAACATGGGTGATCGACATAGAGGATTTTGGCAGTTTATGAAATTGCTTAACCAGCATGTAATAGTCCATACAATTCAAGAGATTCAACAGCTTCCCTGCAATCAGCCAGTCCGCCGTGACCAACGCGACTATGGTGCAATTGAAAAAATGTTTTGAGAAAAAACTTCGAGACGGAGTTTAGACAACTGATAGATTCCTTTCAACAGTATCATATCTCTTTCAAAACATCAAAGTAGTATAAGATAATTTTCCAAGTTTATGTATAACACTTCTTATTTATTAACCTTTATCAATTTTTTTACCAAACTAATTAGTTTAACTTTATTTGATAATATATTATTTTCCATGAAATATGGAAAATTGTATTTGAAATTTTTAAATATTTTTAGTGCTTTGGATGAAAACGTAATGAAGGTTGGTGAGAGTCTTCCTTTGCCAACATCTACTTCAACAGAGTCACCAAAGTGCGTTGTTTGTACCGTCAATGAACGAAATGCATTAGTAATGCCTTGCAGACATTTTTTGTTTTGTCAGCCCTGCATTCAACAAGTCCAAAAAAGCAACACAACTCATTGTCCCACTTGCCGAGGACCAATATCATCTATAATTGAACCTTTTCAATGGTTCAGTAAAATTTTCCCTTTTACCTATATTTTAAAAACTAGAATGTCACACAATTGTTTAAATTTATTTAAAAAAATTTATTATATAAAAGCAGTATAATTTTTTTCCTATTGCTCCGCCTGGAACAAAAAATAATCAATAACGTCGTTTTTTAGTTTACATAAATGACTTTAAATTCCATTTGGGCCTACAAGATTTTCCGTAAGTTGGCGTATTGTATTGGTTTCAGTTGAGCAAACCCCATATTACGTTAAGGATAAGTACTAAATAAATTCCATCACCCTAGAAACAATAGTCATTTACATGTTAAATTTATTGTATAGATAAATGTAGCATAAAGCTGCTTGTCTAGCAAAATTAAATAAGTTTCCTTGAAGCAAGTGACAGTATCAACAAGACTTATTGTGAGGGTTACTATGTTACGATTGGCAATTTCGTGTGCACAAGCGTGTTAGAAGCAACTTTTTGCTTTTAACTTTTTTTAACTAGGTTTTAAAACTTGTCTAGCTAGCTTTTAACTTGTTTAACTAGGTTAAA